GTGAAGAAAACTGATTTTCATGGAGAGCTTGCTTAAACTTAGGTGTCCCAATATGATAGGTGTTAAGCTTTATGTATATGCAAACCTTCCAGATATAAATGAAAACTTCTTGGTTTATCTTTTGCTAGACTAGAATACATGCAATTCCCTGACTCTCATATATTTATATATTAACCTAAAATTACTTTATTTTCATATATACACATACATATATGCATGTGGGTATGTATATATGTATTATATATTACCTAAAATTACCTTCTTTTCATAATAATACATATATATGTGTGTGTGTGTGTGTGTGTGTGTGTGTGTGTGTATATATATGTGTGTGTATGTATGGGAGTAGGGGACTTAAATATATTTTGTCATTAAAGCATTAAACTTGCTGCTCCAGCTTGCTTTTGGTTAATTTCCCTGGTTTTATGGGAAACCCTTCTGTATTATGTGTCTTTTATAAATAATACATTGTTGGATTTTATTTTTTTATCCAATCTGAAAATCTTTTCTGGGATTTCAGTTCCAGGTGATTATGGGTGAATTTTCTCTAGTTTTCTTTTTAGTTATTGATTACTTAGATTATAACAATTACTCAATTCTAGGTCATTCTTTACTTGCCTTACCTTGTTGCTTCTTCCTGAATTTATTTCTCTTCTTACCTGCATTATATTCCTCAAGACTTCTTTTAAATAATGTCTTTGTGTGGTGAATTTTCTGAAACCTTGTATGCTGAGAATTTCCTTATTTTTTTTTGTATTTAAATAATAGTTTATTAGCTATATCTTAATTATAGGTTCACAGTTACTTTCCTGTAACACTTCATCTTGAGAGTTGTTACTACTCCATTGTCTTTTTGCCTCCACTTTAGTGTTGAGAAGTCTAATATCAGTGTTATTCTTCCTTTGTGGAGGGGTCTCCTTTTTCATTCTGGAAGCTTTTTGACTTTTCTCTTAATTCATTATAGTCTTAAATGACCTTATAATATGCTTTGCTGTAGATTTTTAAACATCCTTCTCAGCACTCTATGTGTCCTTTCAATCTGAGATTTGAATATTTTTATATCTGGGAACTCTCTGTCATTATTTCTTCAAATATTTCTTCTCTTCAATTTTTTCATTACTTCTAGGATTCTCATTGTATATTTACACTTCTCCTGTTCTTAATTCTATCACTTGTTTTGTCTTTTTGCCCCTCCCTATGCCTTCTGTAATAGTTCATCTACCCGGTTTTCCAGCTTATTAATTCATTCTGTCTGTATCTATTGTTTTCAATCTTTTCTCTGAATTTTTTATTTCAAATGATTATGTTTTTAATACTAACATATATTGATTCTTTTTCATAGCAGTATTTTTATACTTATATTTCTAAAAATCATCTCTTTGAACATGTTATTTTGTTTACATTCTTCTTTAGTTTATTCTGTTTTATCTGGATAAGATTATTATTTTTTTTAATTTCTGTTTATACATCTTAAAATTTTCCTTGTGGGTTTACCTTTTGTTTCCTAACAGCATTTAGCTGCCTTGACTAGTAATTTTAATCTAAAAGGAGGGGTAAAAACCTAGGATCTGACTTGTACTTTTCCAGGTTAATTTAAAAACTAGAGTAGAAAACCTCTAGTGTTCTAGTTTAGCCTCAGCTACTTTCCCCATTGTGGCTCCCACTCCCTCAAAAACAGTTAAGGAAAAAAAAAAAAAAAAAGGAAAGCAGAAGAACAACCCACACCTTACACATGTTCATGTACATCCATGCATGTGTACCTTCCTCCTAATACTACTGTTATATCTTAGGCAGCCGTTCACTATTGCAAATGGCCTTGCTCTTTACGTGGGTTGGAGATAGAGTGGGGCTGAGTAGTACTGCTCAGACACCTGAGCTGGAGCTGGTTGCTACTAACTCTACCCAAGCCTGTCTTGTGATGGTCAGATGTCACACCCTTAAATACATTGATTCAGGCATTGTACTGAGTGCTGGAATATAAAAATTAAAAAGATGCAACGCATATCTTCAAGGAGTTTTTATTTCACTGGTTTGAATGGGAAAGTAAACTGGCATTTCTAAAATACTGTGATCAGTTCTGTGATGGGACATGCCCAGAGTATTATGGAAATGTATAGGAAGAATTTATTACATAATTTGTGGGAAAGGGAGAAGGTTTCTTCAATTTAAGAATGGTTTAGGATGAGTCCTGTAGGATGGATTTTTGTTAGATAGACAGGGAAGATTAGAGGAGGCTGGGAGAAAAGGAACATTTTAGGTAAAGGGAGAAAGTGGTTTATTGGTGAGTAAAACCAGGTTAGTAGTTTGTTGTGGCTGCTCTTGTTTCTTTTCCTGTAATGTAGCTTTGACAAGATAATAGAAGGAATAGGTAAACTGAAGTGTGGTAGGATATTGTAGATTTTAAGAAGAGAATTGATATGATTAAGCTTACATTTTAGAAAGATTTTCCTGTGTTATGCAGAATGAATTGACATGGGACAAGGCAGGAACTATTGACACCCAGTAAGAGGGCTGTTGCAACAATTTAGGAAGAAAAGATGATGGACTGAAATAACGTAAAAGCTGTGAAAATAGAAAGAAATAGTTAGATCTAATGATAATTAAGGATGTTGGATAGTCAAGACCCTGTGGTTGATTACATTTGGTAGTGAAGGAAAGGGAATGTGTCAAAAATGATGACTAATTTTCTCTCAGGCGTGCCATTAAAAACATTTTATAAATACCTTTTAATGTGAAGTATTGCTAGAAACATAGCAAAGAAATAGCCTACATTTCCTTTTTGTTGTAAAGAACAGTTTCTTGTCCTGATTCTAAAATACAAGCATCTCAGAAAATCAAGTGATTTTCCCTAAGATTGTGGCAGGCTCAGTTGAAAGCAAACCTACTCTGAAATGAGGCTATTTACAGTCTTTGTTTATCCCATTTTATGTGGACATTAATATGTTTGTTTCAGAATTATTAATGTGTATGATGATGAGATGCTGCATCAGACCCTACTGGCAGCATTGTATGACATACCTTAACCTTTCTGAAATCTGTAATATTCTGATAAAGCATATCTAGCCCCAGTTATTTCACATAATCAGGTATGGATTTGTATTTTGAATCTGGTCATTTTTGTTCATTTTATATTACAATATTATTTTCCAATAAGAACCATTTTGTGACAATGTAGCTGTGGGAGGAAACGAAGTAGATGTGTATTATATAGCACAAACTCTAAGATAGATTGCCAAGTGAAGGTACAAAACAGTGTGTATAGTATACTTCTATTGTGGATTTAAACAAGCTAGACGGGGAAAGAAACATACAGGGGCACACACACAGACACACATACACACACAAGTGCATAGAACACCTTCAGAAAGATAAGCCAAGATTGAGAACTAGGAGTCAGTGATGGGAGGAAGATTTGATTTGTGTGTGTGTTTGTGTGCGTGTGTACACGCACACACACGTTGTCCTGCTCAGATGTTACACTGTTACTTTTTTTGTTTAAATTTTGTTACACAAATAACCATATTTTAATGTTCTTGTGAAAACATAAAGATTCATTTGACTCCCAGCTCCAATAATTACATTAATTTTGTAATGATAAAGTATAAAATAATTATTTATATAGCTAGTAGCCTTCTGTCGCACCTTGCAGTAATTTATTCCTATCATTTGTCAGTAGGACTGCAGACATCAGAGATTAAAGAATGAGTTTCAGAAACCATTAAATAGCTAAACATTGAATATATAGTTTTGCTAAGATTGCCAGAAGCAGGAAATATGGAAAAGAATGGCTGAAAATTAGTGCTAATCAGTAGAAGTGGGATTTTATTCCTAATATATCATAGTGGACCATGAGAGCAAAGGTTGGAAGCCATGAGTACAGTTTTCAAGCAGCAAATCTAAAGGGAATAGAAATGGAGAAATTTGGGAAGATAGTACAGCAAGACAAAGGAAACAGGTAAGTATATCTTTGGCAAAGAAAAAATAGAAGACAGAAATAGAAAAGAAAGTTGAGGTGTGGGGAAAAGATTAAACATCATGAATATAGTAATACTGTTTATCGTTGGAGGATTTATATTAATAATTACTTTCAGCAATGTGCTAGGATTATAATTTCTTGTTTAAAAAGGTAATGCTTGGTAGTTATAATGGAACTAAAATATTGCTTGACCAGAATGAGAAAAGCCAAAGTTCATTTGTCACAAATAAATTAGTACAGATTGAAATCAGAAAAAATTTAACTGTTTGCCACATTTCAACAATGTATATTATGTTTGCTACTTGTACAAATACTTCTGTTTTTAGTTCCATAAGCAGTCTCTTTTACAGTATAAAGCAGGAAATTTAATATTTTCAATTAAGTATCATGGTACTTAAAATATTTCATGATATTTGATGTTTATGTTTTCTTTGGTGATATTTTCTTTTTTAATATTAAAATGATCTTAGGTCCTGGTTTGTAGTGTGCATTAAATTAATAAAGTTAATGACAGAAGAAAATAGGTTAAGATTTAGTTATTTAGCTATGTACTCACAAATGTATTCTTTATGTGTACATAAAAATGCAACCATTGATGGATGGATATTTGCAAAAGCAAATAAAAATATGAGTTGTAGAATCTAGGTAGTGGATAATATCTGTAAATTTGAACATTTCCATAATAAGCATTGGAAATAAAAATAATTAATAAAATCATGGAAAAGCTACTGTGAAAGGAATAGATATTGTGTGAGGAGTAAAATAATGATATTTTTGAGTTTGTTGTGTTTTTCATTGACTTTGAAAAATCTGAAAATTTTCTTAGTGAAATACTAATTTAGTGGTAAATCTTATAAAGTATCTGTTCACTTTTGATAAAAATTGTTTTGTTTTAAAAACAGTGTTATGAACATAAGTAAATATAGATAAAAATTACAAGAGTTTATAAAACATTTTTAGGTTAAACAAATTAGAGCAGACAAGGATTTAACAACTATTTAGAACTTTTATTCTTCTATTTTAGGGAATCTGGAAACATCAAAGCTGGATTAGAACATCTGGTAAGTTCTAATTTTCTCTTGAACATTTACATCATCTTTGATATCTGCATTCTAAATGAACACTTTGAATGAGCTTTGAATACCTTGTATTGAGAAAGTCAACTATTTCCCAGAGGGTCAGCTTACTGTTATTATGTGAAGGCACTTACATTTTCATTTCTCTTATCATTTCAAGGAAAATTAAAAATTTTTTAAATTACTTTTTTTTTATGTAGAGATGAAATAAAATGGTTGACAATCCTTGGATTGATGCTTGCTTTAATTATAAACAAAAATTGTTTGGTGTAGAATTTTTGGCATATCTTGATCTGATGAAAACAAGCTGTGTTTTAAGAAAAACACATTCAAATATTGCATGCATAAATGTGGTATGTTTTAGCAATTTAGCAGCTTTGAAAGAAGTGCACAGCTTTGTCTTTCCTGATGTCTTTGCTTTATGAATAATGCATTGATTTAAACTACATTCAGATTTAGAATATAAAATAATTGAGATGCAAAATTTTTGGTTTAAGTAAACATTTTAGAGAAAAGTGAAATTCAGACTGATTTAGCATTAAAATCTGTCATTGATCAAAAAATTGGAAAACCCGTACAATTGTAGTATGTCTGAAATTTGTTAAGCCCACTGTATTGAGTGTTTCTTACAACACTAAGTAGTTCATTTAAACTGAGCATTATAGAGTCATACTCTGGTTTCTGATCAGATCCAAATGTTGAATAATTAATGGTACAGATTCTTTTGTAAATACTGTCTAAGTAGTTTTTTTAATGCAAGGCTTCATTCGTATATCATACTGTAGCTTTGTTAACTATTAATATACTTTCGATTGGCTTCCACAGAAGCAAACAGTAGCAAGAGACAGCTTCATTTTGACTTATACCAGTTTTAGAGTTGAAAGGAATTCTTGGTTTTTCTTTTACAGCTAAAGGAAACTGAGGAAACTTAGACTTTTAAAAGTGATCCTAAAAATTAGAAATGAATTATTAAAAAGCAGAGTATAATACTTAGAAAATTTGAGCTGTGTATTTGAGGATTAGAAGTTAGTAAATAACATTGATATTTTCATCATTAAAAAGTATTTCCTGAACCACTGTTTATCAGTTCAAAATAGCACATAGATTTAGGACATACGGACATCAGAATAGACACGTTAATCTGTAACATCACATTCCAGTATCACTTAGGGGCTTACAACAGGAAGAATAGCTATCATAGTGCCAAAATGAGGTGTCTTTTATTTTTTATTTTTATTTTTTGAGATGGAGTCATGCTCTTTCTCCCAGGCTGGTGTGCAGTGGAGTGATCTTGGCTCACTGCAACTTCTGCATTCTAGGTTCAAGTGATTCTTCTGCCTCAGCCTCTGAGTAGCTGGGATTACAGGTGCCTGCCACCACGACCAGCTAATTTTTGTGTTTTAAGTAGAGATGGGAATTCACCATATTGGCCAGGCTGGTCTCAAAACTTCTGACCTCAGGTGTTCTGCCTGCCTCGGCCTCCCAAAATGCTGGGATTACAGGTGTGAGCCACCTGGCCTGAAGTGTCTTTTATATTTTTGTTGTAAGTTATTATTTATTAAAAATACTTTATATTTACTTTGTTCATGTTCTTCAGTAAAGAGTAATGGGTTTGATGTTTCTCTAGTTTAAATTCCATACTTTTTATACTTACTAGTAGGATCTCATTTTCATTGACTGTTTTACACATTTATATTATAAATTTATCTAGCAGTGGTTTTCTAACTGTGCCTTGGGCTGCCCAGAAACCTCTCCAAAGCCGATGGTACTCCAGACTTCCATTACTCACTTTAACCAAAATAGTTCTACTTTTAGTTATTTTGTAGAATAAATGTGTGAACTTTTTAACAACATTTCATCTGAAGAAAGAGTTCTCTGGCTAAAAATATTTTAACACTTTTGATAAAACATGGTTATCATTGAAGAATAATTGTATATTAATTATTCTTCCCTATTCTTGAGTCTAAGTTATATTTCATTTTTATCTGTCATGTACTGCAAATATATTTCAAAGATATGCATTTTGGAAATGAGAGAGCCAGGACTAGCATACAGTTAGGTAGTAAGAACCAGATGATTTGAATGCATTTCATCTTAGTTGTTTGAAAGACTGTTACTTGATGTTATAATTGAGCCACCAACTGTGAACTATTAACAATATATTCATCTATCCATCTGTCTATCCATCCATTCATCCATCTTGCCTTGTGCATTAATAATACTCAGTAAAAATTGTCAGTGATATTATGAAGAATATCTTTATAAACCTTTCTAAAAAGGTTCATGCCTAAAATGGAGCTAAACTCAACAATTTATGGGTTGTACATTAATGAAACCTGTTCTGTCTAGCACCTGTGGGTGGCAGAGGTTTGTGTCTCTCCCTTTCACTGCTGAGGAGATTGTTAGAAGCCTTCTAGCGTATATGTAGCTCTTTTTGAATTGGCTGTGTAGCTGAATGCAATTAGAAGTATATTTTCGAATAGATTAATGTTAAAACATATATGGTATAAAATTAAAATGAGAAAAGCATCCTGCACATTTGGAATTAATTTTTTCTTTGCATAGCTTTCTTCAGTCTTTGTTTTAAAAAATTATTTAATTATTTATTTAGATTATCATAGAGAATTAGCATTGTTCTAAGAGGAGTAAAAGCCAATATACATTTTAATAAGTTAAGAAAAATTACATATGTGGCTTGTTATGCTTGCTACCAGGTAACATAGTTGCATTGTTTTTGTACTATATGTTTATATGCTCTTCGTGGTATATAGTTATATGTAACCCTGGAAAGGAAAAAGCAAGTGTGGATCTATGGAGAAAAGAGTGGGATAGGTGGACTGTTCCCCTGGAAGCTCTTCAAAGACTGATTTCCTTTACTTAAGTTTTTTACAATCTCTTAGACCATTGATTCAGCCTCTCTGTTTTGTTTTTCTTCTTAATCATTTCTTTCTCTTGATGTTGCCAAGTGTTCCTGAGAACTGTCTTAGTATCTCATTCTCCTCAGTTTAAATTTCTTGTAATACACTGTCCAATACCATCTTATTTTTCTCCTCACAAACTTATTAACTACCCATAAAGCCCATGTCTGTTAAAAGCTCTAGACTGAGACTTTGAAGGCTGTTGCTCTGTTATCCATTGATGATTCTTGTCTGATGATTGCAGAATACAGATTATCCAGTTCTACTGCTCCCTCCATGTTATAGCTATCACTCTACAGTAAGGAAGAGCCTAGCCTCCTTGTTTTGTTTATCTGTTTATCAGGAGTAGGACTCATATTTTAATTTTATTAAATAGGCTATTGTCAATTACTTTCCTTATTTATTTTGATGCTCAGATTGTCCCAGATTTATCTAGGGAGAATCCTTTCAAGATGGCTCCTGGGTGCTTTTGACAAGTGAGAACGCTGACTCTTAATAACACCAATACATTTACTCATTTTCTCAGTCATATAATACACATAAAATAGTTTTAGAATTGCTGCAAATATACTTTGAGTAAAATAACCCTGCTAAAAAGAGTTCCAGATTTATTTGCAATTCCTTTTCTCCAATGAGTATAGTTACGTTACTCATTTGAAATACAGTGCGTTTATTTGTTTCTGTTTGCATTCAATTTAGGTGTCTTTGTCCCCATTCTGTTGATTTAATTATGTTTGAGCATGTATGATGTTAACATGCTTCCAGACATCAAAATTATACATACGGTATTCTTGGAGAGGTGTGTGTGTCACTCTCTTCCTCTTGTAGGTAGCCAATTGTGGGAGCGTATGTTTCCCTTTACCCCTTATAGGTAGCCAATTTTATTGACTTCTGGTTTATCATTCCTCTTTTTTTTCTTTTTCCTTTTTTTTTGGGGGGGGGGAGTAAAACTGTGTGTGTGTGTGTGTGTGTGTGTGTGTGTGTGTGTGTGTGTGTGTCTGTGTGTATGTCTGTGTGTTTGTGTGTGTTTCTGTATTCTTTTTTCCCTCCTTTTGTTTATTTTTTGCTTAGCAGTATATCCTGGAAAAATTACTGTTTGTACCATTATATTTATTGTTTCTTGATTAAGAGTCTGATATTTTAGCCTACTTGGCATGCCTTCCACAGTTGTATAGATGCTGGTGGAAGACACAAGATTCCTTGGTCAGAGGCAAAGTGATTTATTGCTAACAGCACAACAGGTAGCACATGCTTCATGTGTATACTGGTTTCTCTTGACCCCCAAGTTCCAAGAAGTAATGCTGCATACTCAGTGGGTTTGTGTCATAGCTGAGGAACTCCCAAGTATAGGAGTTCTTTAAGAGATCTTAAGCTTTAAGGAGTTCTTTAGGAGCTCTTTAGGAGTTCTGCTGTTAAACCTGTCCAAATTTTAGGGAAATACATCTTTATTATCCTAGTCAGATAACAAAATTGCCTTCTGGTCCAAGGGGAAACTTTATCTCTCTCTTCCAAGATTACACTACAAATGTCTTTGAAAATGCAGTCTAGAACAAAAGCTGATGTAAGATATACAGCACCACTATAGAGAATTGTCTCTTAAGAGGTATTATTGGCTGGGTGCAGTGGCTCATGCCTGTATTCCAACACTTTGGGAAGCTGAGGTAGGAGGATTGCTTGAGTCCAGGAGTTCAAGACTAGCCTGGGCAATATAGGGAGAATCCCGCATCTCAAAAAAAAGTTAAAAAATTTTTTTAAAACTATTTTTATTATTTTCCTAACTATGAAATCTAGAAAGGTTTGTAGTTTTGTTCTAGTGGTTAACTTTCTATTTGTGTTTTTTATTGTTCTTTAATTCTACTTTATTCCTGCCTAAGTTTTTATTTATTTAGTTATTTTTGACAACTAGTAATCAATTTATTAAAATAGCTGACTTAAGCACCTGCAATGATGACTTTAACTTTAACTTCTGGCCCAGTATTGATGGAAATAATCAACTTAACAATTTCAGAATTACCATGCAAGGCAATAAGTAGCTTGTGGATTCTCATTTGAAAGTGAACCCATGTC